TGTCTTCAAATTAGAGTTACTAGAAAGGGGCATACTTGCAGATATTAGAACCAAAATTTAAATATTTACAATTAATTCAACTGAGCTTTTGCCCAGTGGTTCCCCTCCTCATCTTGATCAGGTTCTAGTTCTGGTGTCAGCGTAGGTGGCTGCCCAAGTGGGGTATCACTCTTTTGTTATTCTCTAGAAAAACCATATGCAATTATTTTCTACCATGTTAAAAGGTAAAATACTTGTAATTTATAGTCCACAAAACCCCTTTAAGATTATGCTCGGAGACAACAATTTATTATTCAAGTATACAGCTCCCTTGAGAAAAGAAATTGAAAGGATTTGATAGCTCTCAAATCTATAAAAGTCAAGTGCTAGTAACAAAGCAGGCTTCTATCTTGGTTAATGTCTAACCTGATACCTCAATTCTCAGACAATGTCACAGCAAATGCTTTACGGTACTGTGTCAAAAATGGAGGTTCAGCCATATGATACAAGAAAACTATAGTAATTTAAGTGATAAATTAAAATACTACAAAATGCATTCTAAGAATCGCAAAGACTACAACACCCATAAAGAATGTAAGCATGAACTTAAAAAAATGTTAAGATGCAATACTAAGGAAAGAAAAAGGGTTACTTCTTGTCAGTCATATACTGCTAAACATACTTGTATATTTTAAAAGTAAGCTCAATACACACCTTCAAGTTCGGACTGGAAAATTTAGGATTCATTAAGATCATATGAGTCATTGTTGGCTGAGCTAGCTCCTGATCTGTTATCGACATATGCACATCTGCAGAATGGGGAACAGAAGTTCGTTCAAAATTCAGTTCAGCAGGTGTTTCACAAAGTGCACCTTTCCGCATCCTTTCTTGATTCATGTGAATTTCTTTTGAAGGTAGGTTATTTTCCTCCCTGCCGAAATTAGAGTAAAGCTTGAGATTGCCACTTTTAATGCTTTTGAGTGAAGAACTTTCTCTTGGAATGCATTTTTTTTGTCTCGGCCTCAACATATCATGAAATGTACCAAAGTGTTCAACACCAAATCTGTGCATGCTGCTCAAATTTCGACTCCCATAATTAGTTGATGAAGCTGGAAGAGCAGTTGATTTTGGTAGATTTATAAAGAACCCATCTACCCAGCTATCCCTACTGCTAATACTTGAAGGAGAACCCCATGGTGCTCGCATGTCAAGTTTGGATAATTTCTCATCTGAAACAGTATGAACCATTGATGAACCCGGTGCTGGATTTTGAGTTTCCAAATCGGATAAAGCAAACATTTCAGCCAAAGTACTTGAGCCTTTACCACAATCTCCTACCTCCTTAATGTGGTCAGTCACCTTCCACTTTCTAGACAAGTTTTTACTGGACTCTCTTCTAACTTCAGTTGAAGTTGCTGAGGAACCATATGTGCTATTCCAGTAATTACATCTGTTGGAAGGTCTACAGGATGCCTCAGAATTGCACAGATTGTTCGCACCAGGCATAATACAAGAGCTCTCATCCCTGGAGAATCTGTTAAGCCCCAAAACCGACACATGCTTATTACTGCTGCTTTTGGAGTCTTTCGGTTGTTCTGTAATCTCTCTAGAAATTTCTCTTAAACCTTTAGTCTTGCAGCCAAAATCTTCCATATTATGGGAAAAGTTAGACCATTCCCTTTCTACATTGTCAGGTTCTTGAAACACAGTTTGAGTAGTCAGTCTTCTATCAGCAAACTGAATAACCTTAGGAGTTTCAAGAACACTTCTTCCCTTGCTATGGGCTTTATTAGTACTCGGCTTCAAAAGAACAATATGATTGGGATGGACACATGGGTTACTGTTGCCTGCAGATTTTTGCAAAAGAGAATCATTGTGTTCCTTAAGAGAGTGTCCAACCATACCAGTAACTGGTTTTCTAAAAGTGATCATAACATCATTCAGCAGATTAGTGAACCCATCTGTCTTCCTCTCTGATGGACAACATACTTTATCACTTTCAATCTTAGCACCACTTGAAGACTTGAAAATTGCAATCTTGCTTGTTAAATGAGAGGGTGCAAGCCACTTCAAATCATGAAAATATTTCTTAAATAAGAAATTGGGTTCCTGGAAGGCTTTAAAAAAATGATGCTTCTTGCAATCGTGGTCTGCCAACCTATTATTAGATTTTATAAAAGTTCTTTGTGATTTGTCACTATGAAATTGCTTCACACCCATGAAACTTTGGTCGACAGAGCTTACATCTGGCTTGAATTGTTTGTTCACATCAAACTTGTATTGTTTTAGACTTGGCAATGCCTTATTATCTGGTTTTTTCTTTTCTCTCTCAACTTTTCGCGTTTCTGTGACATCATAAACATCTTTGAATCCTTGGTGCTCAGTGGTGCTCATCCAGGGTGAATGCTCCTCTCTCCTCAGGTACTTGTCTTGCAAGCCAACAGCTGATATTTCCTGAAAGCAATCATTTATTACCTTCTTTTGTTTATTGACTTCTTGTACAGGAGGCTGTTCATCGAGACCCATTAATTTTGCAATTATACTAGGTGAGGACCATCTAATTTCTGCCTCTCTTGTAGTTTCTTGATCCATATGTTTCTCCGATGGTTTCACACTGGTCTTGTCATATGGGCTTTGGCAAGACTGGAGCAAATCACAAATATCAGAATGTTTGAACAAAACAATGTAGGCTTCAGAAGTCAAGCAGACATCCAAATGCATGATAGAAAACATTTTTTTCTTCCTAAAATGTATTTTTCTTTTCTTAAATAATTTTCTGTTGTTATTGCAATTTTATCGGACGCATCCAGTACAAGTAACTAACACGCTATCTAGGAAATTCAAGACAATACAACATCAGTATTGCTGAACAAGCAATTATTTTACTTCTAGGAAATCTACTATGACATCCATTGTGGATATCTCACAGATAATACTAAAAGTAACAAATTACTCGATGCATGTTAAATGCATGAATAAGAGTGCACATCGGCCTTCAAAACACATCAAAAGATACTGGTGTTCTTTGTATTTTACTGTTTCACTGCATACAGCTTATTCAAAGCAATAGTATACCAGTTGGGAAGAATGACACTTACATAATCTTCTTCTTTCTGAAAGCTACTACTGCAGGTGGATTCAGATTCCATTTCAAGTCCATTCCTTTGTTCCATCAGATAATCACATCCTGAAAGAAACCTGAAATTTGTTAGACAACTACCAGCCCGATACGACTCTCAACAGATGAAATTTTGTGTAACTTTGGAAGGTCATTCAAGATCTAAAGCATACACTGGATTATGAACAATCTCCTAATCTGGCACATGATGTAAAATTTAGATAAAGGCAGAGAAAGGATCATTTTTTCTTGAAGCATTTAAGCAATGGAACTATAAACTTCAGCATCTTAAATGCAAGCTGAATTATATGGTCACACTAAGCTTTTGGCGAGTAGTTAAACATAGTCATCAGTAACATGACAATAATGTTTTTTGCTGGGAGGAATATGGCTTCTCACCATTGTCATCCAAGACCAATTCAGCTATCGATGACAAAACTCTCAATAACTAAGACCAATTCAGCTAATTAATAACAGAAATGAGTTGAACTGTGCTGTTATGCATAGACAATGTGACAATCATGGTGAAGACCGTGCCTGGAAAACCTGTATGAATAGAATGGGAAAGGGAAATTAAGAACCAGTGGATGATGGTGAAGATGATACAGGAAAAACAAATTCCAGATGGATGATACAACAAAAAACGTCAGGCAACTGCAAAGAGAAGCATACGAAGTTGTTATCTATCACTACTATTTTCTGATGTAAGGAAAAGAAATCTTCGAAGATTTTTGCGAGTCGATGGCAGACGAACTCTCATATGAAGTCCTGATCGAGAAAAAGGAGAACTTTTTGACAGAAGGAGACGAAGTCTGTGATTAGATCACATAAATTACTTCCCTTTCTGCTGGTCACTACTTGAATCCACATATACTCATGCATCCAAGAAGAAGAAGAAAAGGCGGTACTTCAAACAGACCACAAAAGAACTAAAAGCCACCGGAATGTGGAGAGCGAAATAGAGAGAGAGCGAGACGAGATGATCCAAGACGCACCGGAGACCCGCAACACGCCACCACCGACCCGATAGGCTCGTTCTCTCCGCCGCCCCCGCCGGCGACTCCGGAAACCCTGCTGCGTCCGAAACCAATCCGCCTCCATCTCTCCTCCTCTTCTCTTATCCGGGAAAAAAGGAAGGATCTTTCACATCAAATCTTCCATAATTCTCTTCTTCGATACAATTGGGACACATTCATCGACGCCACTAAGCATTGTACACCAAGACACCAAATTGTGTGTGTGTGTGTGTGAGAGAGAGAGAGAGAGAGAGAGAGAGAGAGGGAGGCGTTTCGTAGGTGGGGACTCGAGGGCAGACCAGAGAGCGAAGCAGAGGAGAGGAGAGGAGATGAGAGAGAGCAAACAAATGGCAGCGGTAAGCATATAGGAGTCGCACTGTACAGAAAGAGTAACGATGACGGCTATTGGCTAACGCTGCATCAAATGTCTGCCCGTTTCATAGCAATAACTGAGTAATGCCATTAATTTAATCTGGTCAATATACAGAACAACATAAATCCTAATCCCAATAGTTACTTCCTCTGTCATCAATTCACATACTTGTCGTTGTTTGATGTCTTGTCTGTCTGTGTCAATCCAAGTAACAATTGCCATGGCCCATGGCTGATGCGATCTCGCGTGCTCGTTGTACTGTTCACCCTTTCCCTTCTTCACAGAGAGAGAGAGAGAGAGAGAGAGAGAGAGAGCTCTTCCTGCTGGTCTGGTACTGCATCATGGAGAAAGTAGAGAGTACATCAACTGATGGAAGATGAGAATGGATGTCTTCGTAGAACTTTGGAGTCATCTCTTTGGTTCTGCTTATAACCCATGACAACTTCAATGGGTCAAAAACAGGTGCTTCCGTGAGAGGCTATGAAAACTTCTGCCGTATCATTCATCTTCCCCGTAATAATTCGTGAGATGACTGAATCTGAATCGTGCCAATAACGGGCAGGTTTCTGCAGGTGAATCAGTGGTGTTCAGCATCTGCTCAAGTTGTGGTGTGTTTGAGAGGACCACCACAACTTGTTCATGGTTGGCAGAAGGCTACAAGCAGAGGCAAACAAAAGTCTTCTCGCACATGTAACAGTGCCCCATTTGGGTTGCTACCCATCTTGTACTACTCTCTGCATCTCTCATTTGGTTGGAAGTAAGTTCTCATGCCCAAACTCCTTTGAGCAAAAAGCCTTTAGCATTCTTCCAAACAGGGAATAAACTTACATCTCATTGTCTATAATATCATTCAGAGTGTCTGCAGGGCTTTCTTTCTTCTTCTTCTTCTTCTTCTTCTTCTTAGCAGTGATTGCAGCAGTTTAGGTAACAAAACATAAAACATTCATTGCCTTATCACACAAGGCATAGAATTCCCCCAAACTCCTTCAATTGTGCAGTAGCACCACTTGTCAGTGATGTTGTTAATTAATGTTGGACAGCTCACTGCTTCAGAAGCATTAAGTAAACATGTGTTCCCACATGCAACCACAAATGATGGACCCAACATACATACATACACAGACAGAGAATATTCTGATGCTTAGTTTAGTGGTGGCTATGAGAAGAAAATGTGGTGCCTATTTAATTATCTTCAGCACAAACTGAGGCCATAAGAATGCATAATCATAGCATTATCATGGTTAATTATCCATGCTAAATTCTATGTTCATCTAACAACAGTTGGATTGCTCAATCACATCTGCAACATGTTTGGGACACAACTTATTTGATAGAAGGTCAGAACTCTCCACAAGATATCTTATTGACCTCACCTCCATATATTTTTCTCTTTGTAGTCTCTTGCTTTCCTGACTCACATGGTTTGTTTGTCTTCCCACATTCATGAACTACATTATTATTATTATTATATCTTTGTATACTACTCCTAAATATTCATCATGTTCTCAGGAACAGATACTGAGAAGGCCAAGATCAACTTTTTTGGGGTGCAAACATGTCACTTGGGAAGTGTTCGAATAGAGCCAAACAGTAAGAGCAGAGACATGAGTTAATGATTCCACAGCTCTGATGTTTACTGTGTTTGCAGATTAGTTCTGAGTTAATGATTCAACAGTTTCAAATCGAACTAGAACCAGGATCATCTGATTCAATTCTAGTTCTTGCAAATTGAAATGAGAGTCAAAATATTCATCATTAAAAACACACAAATAATGGTTAGGATTTTAAATTTTAAATTTAATGACTTAATTTCAGTCTTGATGGAATGATTTTTCTTTTAATATATCGAAATCGATGATTAAGATGGTAATCGAAACCGATAATTCTGGAATTAAAACCGATAATTTTAGGACTGAAACCGAAACTATGTGAAACTAGTTGGATTTTGATTCTAAACTTGATAGAATAAGAAGCGATTTAATTGGCATGGATGGTCAAACCATAAAGGATAAGTACTGCTAATAAGATAAAACGATGATGATGATGATGATGTGATGAATTGGCCACATCAATCATGACCACTTCTAGCAGGGACTCAACGCATAGATTTGGCACTTTGCCTCAGGCATCTCTAGTTTGTCCTGCCCATCGAATCACCATCTCTAATGCTTCTCACAGAATGGCTCTTATGGTAGGTAATACCAGTCCATCACAGCCTGTTCAAGGCATCATGCGGTGTCACCTTCCCATTAGGAATGCAGCTTGTTAAAGCAGAAGATGTTCGACAGAGAAATCTTTTGCACTGCTCATTCCTTCACAGAGGAGGATAGGTAGAATCTGCAGCTCTCAAAACATGAACAAGAAGAAGGTAAAACCACACTGACTTGAATTCACAGATAAATGACCTCAACAGCAGAAGAAACATGAGTAGAAATTTTATCATTCCACAATTGCATGAAATAAAATAAGCAAGTCGATCGTAATTGCTGTGTGTATGTGACTGCAAAGCTCTCCAAACCACCAACTCCAAAGAAAGATTCGTAGAAGAGTTCATCTTAGAGACCAAACATATATATATAACCATGATTATTTAGTGACTCTTATTATAAAGATAAGTCGGATTCATTTCGTTGTTTCTTCGTGACCAGAGGTAACAAAGAGTCGAGCATATTCTTACATCATTCTCTGAAATAGAGCTTGAAGGACTAACTTGCACAAGAGAAGATATAGTGAAGGCTCAAACTATAGATATAGTTTGTATATGAACATTTTTATATATAGTTCTTTTTTTCTTTCCTGAAAACTATATCTGTTAATTGGGAAGGAAGGATAAAGGTCTGTATAATGGGCCAATCCAAGCTCAAATTGAGCCCATTGTTTCTAAATCATTGGGCCTGATTGGGCTCAACGGGCTGAGCGATCACTAATTTAAATTTTTTTGCTTTTAATGGCATATATGTAAATATATTTATGTATGTTTTTGTTATAGCAAATATGATGTGACTAACACCTTATATGTTGATGTGTCATTAATTTGATCATTAATGTCATGTACTATCTTAATAATAATCGTATCTTGACCACATATGGGTTAAAGTTAGATTTTAATAAATAACATGACTAACTGATAAATAGTCTAGTTATAAACAATTACAACTAATAGGTGCAACTATCCGGTGCAATGACACCTCAAGCTTCATTATTAAAGAGGTCATCTAAGTATACTTAGAGATGTTGAAGAAAATTAGGCCTGCCAGACTAATCTAACATGTTCGACTAGTTTGAATTATTTGAATTAATATTGACTTCAGCATAGGTATTATTGGAATCATCCCTAAATTAATTTTGCTGGATCGAGAGTCTAGCTTAGTGAGTTTTCCTAGAGATCAATTCGAAAAAAAATCGGGTTGGATTCGAGTTGGCTTTCAACACAGATAACAAAAATTGACTTTAACGTTTTGACACTAGAAGGAGAGTCATCGACCGTTATATCTCTAGAAAATTTCATAGGACCACTACTAGTAAACCCTAAATATTTGAACCCCCCTCGAAGTTCCATGGATCGACCTTGATACCCCGAATGCTCTTAATCTGAATCGCCCAGTTTTGGCAATCCTGAATTATGGTTTGATGGGGATGTTGGTTAGATAATTTTCCCTACGTATTTTGGACAAATTCCTCAAGGCTTTAACTTCCTATGTTAGACAACTATGAAGGGAAGACCGATCCTTCAAAGTATATAGCGGTATTTATTTTACAGAGGACTCTTTATGGGACTACGTACACCCTTATGTGTTAGATATTTCCAACATCCCTAAGAGGCCCAGCATGCAAGTGGTTCACTAGGCTACCCTCCAAGTCAAACTCTTCCTTTAGATAATTGGTCAAAAAATTCGAGTTTAGTTTTATTAGCTATAAGCTCTCTTAGCTATACGATAGGAAGAGAAGGAATCCTTGGAAAGTTACACCATAAGGTTTAACTATGAAATTTCGACAAGTTTCATGGGAGTTCATGTTGTACAATATTTCTCACATTGAAGTATTCATGCAAATCCAAGAGAAGGAACTCTTGAAGACACCCTACCCTCTAAGAGCTCTATTGATAAGAAAAGATATAACCAAAATATTATCACTTTTACTAGGACTATAAACATAATATCGAAAATTGCTATATTTTCAAGGAGCAAATCTAAAATTTAATTCAAAATAAGCACCTTAATAAATTCCTCCATAAAATTCAAGAATCTTTATTGAGACCCCAAGGCCCAATTGAGAGAAAAGTGGATGTGATTGTTGATAAACTAACGACTAAGGGTAGTAGCTCATTTGCTTGAAAGATCTATGCAAGGGAGTCAAAGTTAAAAGGTTTTGCTCGAATGAAGTTCAACCCATTGTGTTTAAAGAAAAAAAGGTAAGCACTTAGACCCATGCATGATGATGCATTGGTGGTATCCTTAAAATCATAAACACATGGGTCAAAAGAATTTGAATCAATGCAAGGAGCTTGACAAATATTTTATACTAATTCTTTTGAATAAAATTAGGTTGTTAACATAAGGTCTTCAACCCATCTTCTCCACCCTTATCGGCTTCAGGAGAGTCGGTTACTTTAATAGGAGCTATCGATATCTTTGTAACCTTCTGGTGATTGTACAAAAATAGCAAACACTAAATTCCTAGTGGTCGACACTTCCCCAACTTATAACGTTATCATTGAGTGACCTATTTTCAATCTTACACAAGAAATAATGTCAACCTATTATATGACCCTCAAGTTCCTAACTAGTTCAGAAGTAGAGGAGATTAAGAGAGACCCTAAGGAATCTAGACAGTATTAAATGATATTGGTCATCCTTTTGAAAAAGAAAAAAATATTGGTTCAACAAATAGATATGCATAATCTCTCATCATTGGCCTTATACCTTGTGATAAGAGAGTCTTTAAAAGAAATTTTCTT